CAGGGCTAATCTACAAATTGTTACCCAGGATGAACTAAATAATTAAGAAAACCAGCTGGATATAGTCTGCTCAGATAGTTCATAGAAAATGAATTTTAAAATAAGAAAATTTGAGTTAATTTAACATTTGGCAACAACTTCTTATGTAACACACTAGAGGCCCGGTGCACAAATTCGTGCATCAGTGGGGCCCCTCGGCCTTGCCTGTGGGATCGGGCCAAAACCGGCTGTCAACATCCCCTGAGGGGTCCCGGATTGTGAAAGGGCACAGGCCAGGCTAAGGGGCCCCCACTGGTGCACGATCGGGGCCAGGGAGGGATGCGGGAAGTTGGCCAGCCAGGGAGGGACCGTGGGAGGGGTGGGGTCCAGGGTGTGTCCAGCCCATCTATCTCAATCCCAATCGGCCGGACCCCAGCAGCAAGCTAACCTACTAGTCAGAGTGCCTGCCCCCTGGTGGTCAGTGCACATCATAGTGACTGGTCAACCGGTCAACTGTCAGCCCCCTGGAGGTCAGTGCATGTCACAGCGAGCAGTTGAGTGGCCTTAGCATATCATTAGCATATTATGCTTTGATTGGTTGAAAGGCCGACCGGACGACTGGACGACCAGACACTTCGCATATTAGGCTTTTATTATATAGGATGGATTTTCAACAATTTCACTTTTAGTAACAATTCAAAGTAATGCAAAACATAATTTTTAATAGCTGCACAGACTTCTAATGTCACTCTGAATTTTAATTTTATAACTTAAATCCAGAAGTATATGTCATAATCTTTTTTGAACACGATATTCACAAGAGTAAAAAACCATTTTATGAAAGCACCAATCACTGACATCTTTGCCACACCTTGTAAGAAACTTTGCCAAATTTTTTTTTGGTGGTGGGGAAGGGAGGGTCAGGGGTGGTCTATGGGAGGGTGGAGAGAGTAGGTGATCCTCTGAGATTTACCATTAGTAAAAATCTACCACTTGGGATTTGTTAAATGTTTTTAAGGGACAAGGATATAACATACCTCAAAGTAAAGCAAGAAAAGGTTGTCATAAACTAATTAAAGGAAGGCTGAAGATGAAAAACGAACGCTATAACTCAACTAATTGAGAGAAGTTAGTGACAAATTAAAAACCAACACACAAATGAAAGCTTAGAGTAAGACTACCATATGCCACTCATCCTAGAACAGTGATGGCGAACCTTTCGAGCTCGGCGTGTCAGCATTTTGAAAAACCCTAACTTAACTCTGGTGCCGTGTCACATACAGAATTTTTTGATATTTGCAACCATAGTAAAACAAAGACTTATATTTTTTATATTTATTTTATATATTTAAATGCCATTTAACAAAGAAAAATCAACCAAAAAAATGAGTTCACATGTCACCTCTGACACGCGTGTCATAGGTTCGCCATCACTGCCCTAGAAGAAGGGCATCTTACAGGGTTTCAAGCCAACCTCCTTGATGTGTTAACATTAGTCACAAAGATCATTCAACTAATTCCCTTGCTGGTGTCATGCTTAATCAATCAATTTCTTAATTATACTTTGGCTTTCTACAGGCAAGGGAACACACTGACCCACCAGGTGTGGACAAAGCTGAGTGGGAGCTGAAGCACAGGACCTGGACCTTGCTTACCTTAGGCTGCCAAGAAAATGCCAGGTTATAAAGACCTACAGCAGTCACTGGCCAGACTTCTTTTCTGTCATCTCTTCAATTTTCTCGCTAAAGAAACAATTTCCAATGACCTACTGATTGGCACCGTGAAAGTGTCTTTGAAAGAACATACCACCTGGTCAAGTGAAAAGGCTGCAACAACAGAATGCTATGAATGAGAACATAATCACTGAAGAATGAGGAATTCAGTAACAGGAAGTTATTAAGGCAAATGTATCCAGTAAGCAGTAAGACCTTATATCCCCATATTTCAGTAGAGCTCAGAACAAGATTTACAAGACACCAGAAGAACACAGGTGAAGGAAGTAGAAGCAACTTCTAACATGACAACTGAAGGGAACCACAAAGTCCTTCTTGAGAGACAAGTTGTCCCCATTTCAGAACATGAGGGGCTCCTACCATCACTGGATCTCCTGTTCCTGCTGCTTCATGCTCACAGCTTCTCTGCCTAAAGCCCCCCCTCCCCCGCCCCCCAATTGGTATCTGCCCTTGCAATGGTCCCAAGCCTCGCCCATCACTGAGAGGCCAGGAGATTCCATAGCTGCACCGTACAGTGGGCTTCACTGATGAGAACAGGTGACGTCGTGTCAACACTGAAACAAGCAGGCTCAGAGGGGACATTCAAACTGAAAGAGCGATCAAATCATCCGGGAGTGATGGGTTATTCAAATACATTTTCCAGCAGTGAAAACCCAGGATTTTCAAATGAACTTACAAGAACCGTATTATATCAAGTAAATAATAAAGTCATTGGCTTAAAAAAAAGTTATTTAATTCCATGGAACATGTACTTTACAAGGTCAATAAATGAGAACAATGAAGCTATTTTTAACCAACATTTTAAACGGAAGGTTACAGTAGATAGAGCAGTCTTACATCAGCCTTAATATCCAAGATACTTGCAGATTCAAGAAATCACAAACAGCTGTCCTTGCACTCTCAGATCTCCCACGACTGACCCAGAAGCTTGAAAAAGAAATTATAAGGAATGTTTATTTCTAAGTTTAATCACCAACAAGAGCAACAGGCTATCCTTATAATCAATCTTTATCAAACATAAGGACAAGAGAGAAAAAATCAGGACAAGAAGTATCCCTGGGTGACAATAAGCAGGAAAACTATAATAGAGCACCTATCGCCTCTCAACCTGCTCTGTGTTCCTCCGTCATTGCGTAACTCGCGCGTCAGCATGCACGGAGCAGATGTTCCGGGCTGGCACCTGCTACAGTGGCACATTGGCCAACATGTGCAGGCCTGCATTCCACAAAGCTGTGCACTCGCACGGCCTTCCTAGTCGATGGCACACTGGCATAAAGTGCACGAACGAAGACTGCAGGTGGAACTTGATTCTGGTCTATCCCAAAACCAGTTAACTTGGTAGCACAAACATCTATTATTAGTCTCCAATGTGTTAAAATGTGGCGTCTAGCACATTCTGATCATGCATGTTGACCTTTTAAAAAATGTAAATAGAAGACATTCAAATGGACAGATGCAGAGCCTTTGAAGCATCCTGTGCTGAGAACACAGCAAGCATGCCAGAGGTCAGCTCCGTGTACTGAGGAGGCGGTGCGGACAATGCGGGAGTGTAAGAAAACAGCTTTGTCCAGTAATCTGTTTCACAGATTAGCGATTGTATAATTAACTGCAATGTTGCTAAGAACAATATTTCTAAGATCTTCTTGTTCTGCACACTGCTGTTCACTTAAAGTTGGATGAGGCCCATTATCACGACCTATTTTTATTATAACAAAGACAAAAACCTGGCTGAAAGACAAAGGCTTCTTTCTATCATTGCAGAAACAGTCATTCTTACGGCACTTCCCTCTGTCCCTGTTACTTTTACCTACAAATGTTCACATCCATTTTATCCCAGCGAATGGTTATTCAGAATTATAGCTCCTGGCCCGCCCGTTGGGGTAATGAATCACACTTGTCCACGGCGGCTAAGGCACGGAAGGGGCAGCCAGGACCGAGTTCCCTCCTGGCTGTGAAACCCTGGACCAGACCCTAACTCTGTGCCTCAGCTTCCTCATCTGCACCGAGAAACAACTGCGGGGCCTTCCCAGGGTTGCTGTAAGGGTTAAACGGGTCAGGCAAAGAGCGTGGCATATTTTAAGCATTTAGTAAGTATTCATTATTATTTTCAAAGAAAAACTTAAAGAAGTCAAAATGTCCAAAGACGGAATTCACTAACAAATGTATTTAATGAACTTTCTGCCCAAATCACCACTGTGAGATGTACCGGAGAGGAGCCGGTGACGTCACATTAGCCCAGGCCCCTTTCTTCAGAAAAGCGGTCCCCGAGAGCCACCCACCTCGCAGCGGGGTCTGAGCTGCAGGGAAAACGAACCCCGCCGCACCCCAAAAACCTGCTGGGCCCACTGGGTCGCGGCCAGCAGGAAGGGGACCCCGCCGTCGGCTGTGCGCACAGCTACAGTTTGTTGGAGGTTCGTTCAGCAGAAAAGGAGAAAGGCCCGACCTGCCCGATCCCTGCGACTGCAGCGCGGGCCGGGAGCGGAGCGGCGGCCTCTGCACGCGCGCCCGGGCCGCCGGGACCGCCGGGGCCGCCGGGGCGTCTCCACGCACCAGCACCGGCCTGGGAGCGGGGGCCCTAGGGATGGTGGGTTCCAGGTCCCGATCCGAAAAACAACAAACAACGACCCAAAGTTCGCGAGCGGCGTGCGCACGGAGCAGAGCGCAGCCGGGACTCTGGGTGCCCCGACTCCGTCCCGGAGGCTCCTGCGGCAGCGAAGTTTCAGACAATCAACCCGACTGTCCGCGCACGTGGGAGCCAGGGCGCGGGTGCTGGGACCGCGCAGCCCTCGGGGGTCCACACCCACCCGCTCGCCTGCAGCCCAAGGGGTGGGTGTGGGGGTCCCGAGGGCTTGGGGGTCCGGGGGGCAGGGGAGCCCAGCCGCTCGGCTGCAGAGCCTGAGGGGCGGGTGGGGGTCCCGGGGGGCAGGGGGTCCCCGGGGGCAGGGGGTCCCGGGGGCAGGGGCCCCGGGGAAACGCCAGGGCGCGCCTGCTGCACGGCGCCCGCTCCCCTCGGAAAGGGGCGGGGAGGCGGCGTGGGCTCGGTCGCGATGCGAGGCTTTCGCGCAGGTCCCGGGGAGCGCGGGGCCCGCCACGCTCCGCACCCGCAGGACAGCCGCAGGCAGGGCCGCCGCGGGCGCCGAGGGGGTCCCTGCAGCGCCGACCGGGTGCCGGGCTGCACCCCGCCCCTCGGCCCGGCCCGGCGCCGGGACGCTGACCTCCGCCCGGGGGCAAGCGGGGTCCCACGCCCCCTCGGCCTCCGACCGGCGCCGGGGCGGCGGCCGAACTCACCTCGCCGCGCGGCGGCTCTCGGGGTCGGGCTCGGGGTCGGGCTCGGGTTCCGGCGGCGGCGGCTCCTCCATGGCGGCGGCGGGGCTGACGGCGCAGGCGGGCGGGGGCACCAGCGCGGCGGCGGCGGCGGCTTCTCTCATCCGTGCGCGGAGCCCCGCATGGCCGTGGCGGGCGGGGGGGCCGGAGCCCTGGGGTGCGGGAGGGCCGGCTCCGCCTCCGCTCAGCCCGCCGCGGGGGCCGCTCGCGCCGCCGCCATCTTGGGAACGGCGACTGGCCCGCGGCGCGTACGGCGGGCGGCGAGGGACAAGCCTCCGCGGGCGGCGGGGCGGGCGGGCGGGGCGGGAGGCCGGGGGGCGGGGCGGGAGGCCGGGGGGCGGGGCTCCTGGGCTGGGAGGTCGGAGGGGGCGGGGCTCGCGGGCTGGGAGGTCGGCGGGGGGACAGAAGGGGCGGGGCGAAGGGAGGGGCCTCGGGCGCGGCGGGGTCGCGGCAGTTCGCCTGGGTTCACCCGGGTTCGCGCGGGGCTGGGGACCCGCCGCGGGGTGTGCGCACCCGGCTGTGCTCGTCTGGCCCCCAGGCGGTCAGCGTGGGGCGTGCACGGCGGGCTCTTCATGGGGTGGAGCGTGCACGAAGGCCCCCGGTGGCGTGGGGCGTGCACGGAGGCCCCCGGTGGCGTGGGGCGTGCACGGAGGCCCCCGGTGGCGTGGGGCGTGCACGGAGGGCTCTCGGTGGGGCGCGGCGGGGCGGCGATTAGTAACTGGGTGCTTTGTGAACTTCAGCGAGCGGATCCCAGGGGGTGATGCCATCCTCAGAAACTGGGTTAGATGGACAGGGGCGCTCCCTGGTCACGCGCCTGCGAGGAGGCCCTGGGGCACCGCGAGTCCTGGGGCTGCGGGCTCAATATCTTCCTAGAAGCGCAATTTTTAAACATCCACAGGAAACTCTGGGTTTTGACCCGGAAAGGTTCTGGAAACAGAACATTAGAGCGGCCTCTTCCAACCGGGCTGAGAGGGGCACTGACCTCACCCCGGCCCAGGTGGCCCTGCCCTCCAGGAGCTCGCAGGACTGAAGGGAGAACTCACTTCCAAAGATAATGGCAGCACTAAAGGCACTGCTGAGACTCCCACTGCATGCGTCTAATTAGCACTGGAAGTTCACACTTTTAAGATTCAAATGTTTATTAAATTGCCCATAGGGTGGAGTCCAGGGTTGATTCAAAAAGAGCAGCATTTGAAATTAAGTGCATTTCTTGCCTTAGCTGGTTTGGCTCAGTGGATCAAGTGTGGGCCTTTGGACTGAAGGGTCCTAGGTTGGATTCCACTCAAGGGCACAAGCCCAGGTTCCCAGCTGGATCCCCAGTGGGGGGTGTGCAGGAGGCAGCCCATCAATGATTCTCTCATCAGTGATGTTTCTATCTTTCTCTCCCTCTCCCTTCCTCTCTGAAATCAATAAAAATATATTGAAAAAAATAAAATAAAATTAAGTGCATTTCTCTTTTTTTAAATATATTTTTATTGATTTCCCACAGAAAATAAGGGAGAGGGATAGAGAGCTAGAAACATCAATGAGAGAGATCAACCAACTGCTTCCTGCACACCCCCCACTGGGGATGTGCCTGCAACCAAGGTACATGCCCTTGGCCAGAATCAAACCTGGGACCCCTGAGTCCGCAGGCCGACGCTCTATCCACTGAGCCAAACCAGTTCAGCTAACTGCATTTCTTAATGAGAATTGATAAACCAAAGAACTTATATACTTACTGGAGGCCCAGTGCATGAAAATTCATGCACTGGGTGGGGGCGTGTCCCTCAGCCCAGCCTGCACCCTCTCACAATCTGGGACCCCTCAGATAGGGTCCCTAGGCCTGGCCGGAGATCAGGACTTATCAGGGCTTTCCTTCCACACCACCGGCAGCCAGGGGAAGGGAAGGCCTATTGCACGAATCTTTTCATGCAACAGGCCTCTAGTTTGACATACTTGGTCAGAATAAAGTCAAATGATTTGGTTGTACAAATCATTCAAAAGAAAATTGTAATACATTAATACTTACTGAATTTCACTTTTTCTTTACAAATAGTTGCACGACCAAATCATTTAATTTCATCCTCACTAACTCATGTTGAAGCGTTTTCATGTTTTGGATGTCATGGTTCACAAATAACTCCTGAGGCCACAGGGAGCCTGGGGCCTGTCCCCGGCTCTCCCCGGCTTGTAAATCTGGGACATGTGATATATAGACCAGCATCTGGGAGACAGTGACTTATGGTTTCAATTTCCACTTGCAGGTATTGTCTATTCTGGTAGGAACCAAACAAATTTATGTTTAACGCGTATATAAGGCATCGCATGTACTAGGAGAAGCCTTGTTAACTAGTCCTACACATTCATTCCACTTAAATCTCGGGAACTTTTGCTTCAAGTTAACTCTGCATACTGCATCAGCCTTTTTTTATTTTGTTATGTGCATTCTCTTCCTAATCTGTGCCATTTCATTTCAGATTTCAATATTTCGGATTTCAAGATGTGAACATGTTTCCTTCTTAAACACACTAGCCCTGCGAGGAGCCCCAGCAGTTCAGGGAGCCCCTCCCCCCACGCTGGGAAGACCTGTCTGAGCCCCACCACCTGCCCTAACCTGACAAAAGGTGCTCTCCTTAGCATCCCCTAACGCCTTGGGCAAACCCTTACTTTAGCACCATCCACCAACCTATCTGCATCTAGATATTCGGTTGGTTACATGTGTGTTTCTTGCTCTGTGACCTTCTTAAGAGCAGGCAGTATTTCTTGCTAACACATCCTCTTCAGCACCTAGAATAACACCCTGTATGTAGTACATGTTCAGTTACATACCTGTTGAAAAATGAATTGAATGAATATTTGAAAATACAGATGGATGGATGGATGGATAGATAGATAGATGGATGCATCTAATTGGGGAACTAAGTCTAAGATAAAAAATTATTGAGATACAAGTAGACTAAGAAGTGTGATGAGGTAGTTTTTTTTTTTTTTTAAGTTCAATAGGTGTTCTAAAGAGTCAGACAACCAAGGTGAACACAAATAAGAAAGAAAAGCTATATAAAAAGCAGACATTCAGGATGAGGGGTGAAAGCAATGTATGTGAAGCTTTAAGTCCCCCAAAATATCAGGAAGAACAGAATTAACCAGGGTCCTTATACTGACAGTGGAGAATCTCAATGACTCTTCGGCACCTACACACCAACAAATAAAAGGCTCGCGCATTATTCTTTGAAGTAAGAGAATGGTGGTGGATGAATATTGAAACGGAGGTTAAAACACTGATTTTTACTGAGAGATGACTCTGATAGACATCAGAAATAGTTGGAGCCAAAGGATTCATAACCGAAGGCCAGAAATAAGCCCTGAAGGGCTGAAAGGCCAGCCGCTGAGGCATGCATTTTCAGTTTTGCTGCTTGGCCTCCTTGAGTTGGGAGCATCCTGTGACGCTACCTAATCTACCCATCTCCTCAGAGCTGGTTTTTCATCTGCATCCACCGCAAAAGTGCCCGAGGCTTGAATTCCTCAGTTTCACGGAGCACTATTCCATGCTTTGACAACCCTTATTCTTAGGAAGTTAATATTTATCATTCCAAACCCACCTCCCTAAGACATCTACCCAATGTTCTATCTAGGGCTCCATAGAATAAGTCTATTTATCATTTGAAAACAACTATTTTGTGGCTCTCCCTCAAAATGGCAACAAAAAACCTTTGAAAATTCTTCCCAGATTAGTCATCCTCTTCCCCCCACTTCCTCCAGACGCGGTGGGATAGGCTGGAGAGAACGCCAATGCAGAGATTTCTTACAAGGGCTTACTTGATCATTCCAATTTGGCAAGTAGTTTTGGTTAAACAGAAGATTTGAAATCCTTACTTCAGAACATTTTTAGTTCAAATACATTTCAAACTATAATTAGAGGATATTTACGGAAGAATGTTGAATGGTGCCCTAGCTGGTTTGGCTCAGTGGGTAGAGCATTGGCCTGGGGACTGAAGGGTCCTGGGTCTGATTCTGGTCAAGGGCATGTACCTCAGTTGCAGGCTCCTCCCCCCATCGGGCCCTGGTCAGACTCATGCAGGAGGCAACCAATCAATATGCTTCTCTCACATCGATATTTCTCTCTGTCTTTCCCTCTCTCTTCCACTCTCTCTAAAAATCAATGGAAAAATATCTTCAGGTGGGGATTAAAAAAAAAAAAAGAATGTTGAATTTTTCTATTTAAACAAAGGACATTATGTGTTCACAGCAACCAGGATCACTCACCAGTATCGAAGGTAAATCTTTGCTATTAAGACCACTGCTTTTCAGAATCTGAAGTGTATATCCATTCCCCGGAGACCTCATAAAACTGCACACACCCCAGTCAGGAGGCTGAGGGTGAAACCGGAGAGTCTGCATTGCTGACCAGCTCCCAAGTACTGTGGATGCTGCCCGAGGGTGGACCACACGGACTAGAGAGGGTGTCGTAGATCTATATCCTGCATCTCTGCTGGGGTAGATAACAGAAAATGATCTGCTACAGAAGATGATCAAGAGAAAAGGCGAGGTGTTCACTCCAAGCAAAGAGAACGGAGCCCCTGGCCCAGTGCAGCCAGCATGTGTGTGGGGACCCTGCTGTGTGTCCCTCAGAAAGAACCGCTGCGGTCCTCACCCAGGTGCCCGGGAATGTGGCCTCCTTTGGCAATGGGATCTTCGAAGCTGTGGTTCAGATATAAATTAAGATGAGGTCATGCCAGAGTAAGGTTGACTCTTCATTCGATGCAAGTGGCATCCTCCTGAGAAGAGTAGAAAAGACGCAAAGACAGACATGCACAGGGGGCGGGGGGGGCAGGGAGGCGAAGTGAAGAGACACAGGGAGAAGCCGTGTGACAACGGAGGCAGCGGTGAGGGATGCATCCACCAGCTGAGGATACCGGCCACCAGCAGAAGCTGCGAGGAGGCAGAGAGGGTCCTCCCGGAGCCTTCCGAGAGAGCAGGGCCTGCCAACAGCTGGATTCGGGCCTCTGGCCTCCAGCACTGGGAGAGCATGAAAGGCTGTTGTTTGAAGCCACTGGGTTAGTGGGACTGGGTTATGCAGCCCTGGGCAGCGAGCACACCTGACTTCACACGGTGGCAGGAGGGCCACAGCCACTCCAGGAAATCACCAGGGGAGCGGCAGGAAGCCTGGTGGCCGTCTCGGGAGAAGTGCCCAGCGGGTGTGGGAGGACCAGCGTGGCAGTAGCCATGAAACAAAACGCCCCCAGCTCGGCAGGTGCACGGGAGCCACACTGTGGCGGAGGAGTGCTGAGGTAAGAAGTCTGTTCCCGTGGTTTTGCTAGGAGCAGGGCTGCTCACAGGCTCAGAGGCTGGTTTGAAAAGCCAGATAGAGATCAACGGGCCTCCCCCTTGGCTGCAGGACAGAGTCGCCGGGGAGGCTGTAAGAATCATCAGCGCCTGGGTCTTGCCCCTCTCCTACGTCTGACTGATGGGTCTGGGATGGGGCCCCAGCGCCCACAGGCTGAGAAAATCCCTCGGGCTCGGGCGATCCCAATGACCGCTGTTACAGACCCAACCTCCCCCTGCAGGTGGGCCTAGGGAACAGGGCCCAAGCACACCCCTCAGCGCCTCACTTAGGGCCTCACCCGAACAGCGCTGGGGAGGCCAGAGCTGGAAATGCAGGGGCTGAGCTGACCAGCCGCCGGCCCCCACAGAGAGCGCTGTCCAGGGACCCAGACACTGCACACGGCACTTCCCAGCTCAGCCCTGACTCGCTGCACACGGCACGTCCCAGGTCAGCCCTGACTCGCTGCTACCCATTTGTTTGTCTGCCCCCCACCCCATCGTAGCCTGTGCTACCACTTGCCCACCATCGGCAAGCGGTCGTTGGGTGTATCTTGTCCAATTTCCTAGTTGCTTGTCATGAGCAGGAGTACCAGCATCCCAGAGCCACCACAGCAAACTGCCACCAACTGGGCGGCTTACTGCACCAGCCGTGAGGGAATCCATTCTCTCCCGGTTCTGGGTTCTGATGACAAGGGGGACGGTTCTGAGTTCTGATGTCCAGGGGGATGTGTCAGGTTCCAGCAGGGCTGGCTGGCTCCGCCCCTCCCTCCCAGGCTCCCGTGGCCAGCGCTCCTCGCATTCCTTGGCCTGCAGCAGCAGCACTCCAGTCCCCGTGTCCGTCCTCACGTGGGCCTCTTCTCTCTGTCTGTGCACTTTTCTTACAGATGCCAGTTTACATGCGAGGACACCAGGATTAAGAGCCCAGTCTCCTCCTGTGGGACCTCCTCTTAAGTAATTACATCTGCAGTAGCCCATGTCCAGATACGGCCCCACCCCGAGTGCCAGGAAGGGCATGCATTGTCGGGTGACACTACTCAGCCCAGTGCAGTGGCGGCTCAGTGTGGTCCCAGTTCCTCCAAAACACCCCCACATGGCAGTTCTCACTTGAACAACAGACTCCTTGCCAGAGGCGTGGTTCCCGGGTCCTTCTCTGCCTTTCGCATGCTCCACGCTAGTGAAACTCGCCCTCTGAAATGAATGAAAGTCGCAGACCAAGAAATAGCCCCGGATTCTGGCCGTGCAGGTTCCAGGGCCCAGCCAGGCCCTGCTGGTTGGAGTCTCTGGGGACGCAGACTGGGCACCTGCAGTTCCAAGGGCCCTGGTGTCCCCGTGGTGCGGGTCCCGTCTCATCCTGTGCGCTGAAGACTCTGCCGTGGGCTGACGGCACCCACTCTGCAGTGAGGAGCCCAGTTCAGGTTCTCATGGGGGGTGTGCATCAGGGCTCTCAGGGAAACAGCCCATGTGTGATCTCCTCAATAGGAGACAGAGAGGTAGGAAGATAGATGATAGACAGGTGATAGGTAGGTAGATGATAGGTGACAGGTAGATAGATAGATGATAGGTAGATAGATAGATGATAGATAAATGATAGATGATAGATATAGATAAAGAGATAGATGATAGATAGATAGATGATAGATAGATAGATGATAGATAGATAGATAGATAGATAGATAGATAGATAGATAGATGACAGGTAGATAGATGATAGATGATAGATAGATGACAGATAGATAGATGATAGATAGATAGATTTTATGAGACAGATTTTAAAAAGAATTGGCTCATAAGCTAATGTAGGCTGATAAGTCCGAAGTCTACAAAGCAGGCGGCGGGCTGGAGACCCAGGAGAGCCCAATGTTGAGGTGAAGCCCCAGGGCTGTCTGCTGGCAGAACTCTCTCTTGCTCAGGGGCGGCCAGGCTCTCATTCCACGCAGGCCTTCACCTGATTGGACAAGGCTCACCCACAGATGGAGGGCAACCTGCCTTAACTCAAAGGCCACCGAGTTTAGTGTTAATCTCAGCGCCAAATGCCCTCACAGAAATAGCCAGAATAACGTTTGACTACGTATCTGAGCACCATGGCCCAGCCACGTTGACACATAAAAGTAACCATCACACGGGGTCTCCCTGAGTCCAGCACTGAGAGGGGAATGAGAAGAGGGGAGGGAGGGCTGGGGAGCAGGCTGGCCATCCCAGGTTTGTGGTTCTCCAAGCAGGAGCCTCACGCCACCAGCATCGGGGGTCTATGTGGAAATGCAAACCACCAATCCCACCCAGGAATCAGTGGATCAGAGCCCTGGGGCAGGACCCAGGCACCTGTGTTTTAAACAAAGTCCCCAGATTACGTTTATAAACATTATATAAAATAGACTCTATATAGGATGTCCCAACAAATGTCTACACACTTTAACAGCTGGTAACTCACTTAATTTTGAAAATGAAATGTATTTTAAATAAATACTGACTTTACAATCATTCACAGTGTGTCTACATTTTGGGGGACACCCTGTACCTATTATATATATAGACTATATCTCTATTATAAAATTAATGCCCACATGTAAATATAATATGAGCCTATTGTATAAATATTATGTATTAATATTTCTATACTCGAGACCCAGTGCACAAATTTGTGCACCAGTGGGGTCCCTCAGCCTGACCTGCGGGATCGGGCCAAAACCGGCTCTCCGATGTCCCCCGACGGGTTCCAGATTGCAAGAGGGTACAGGCCAGGTCAAGGGACCCACCAGTGCACCATCAGGTCGGGTAGGGATGTGGGACATTGGCCAGCCAGGGAGGGACCATGGGAGGGCTCCAGGGCGTGTCCGGCCCATCTCGCTCAGTCCCTATCAGCCAGACCCCAGCAGCAAGCTAACCTACTGGTCGGAGTGTCTGCCCCCTGGTGTTCAGTGTACGTCATAGCAAGCGGTTGAGCGGCCTTAGCATATCATTAGCATATTACGCTTTGATTGGTTGAACACTGGCCGGACAACCGAGCACTTAGCATATTAGGCTTTTATTATATAGGATCAGAAATCCTAAAATCAGCATGGGAGCCAGAGACAGCTGTCACGTTACGTCTTTGGATTTTTCGTATCTTTGCTCTGACCGGGCACCTGGTGCAGCAAAGCGGGTTAGAGACCCCGATGGATGAGCGGTCGGCAGAGCTGGAGTTGTCAGTGTCGTCTCCCACGCAAGGCATACAGCACACCCGTGGGCCTTTCTGGAGGGAGGCAGAGGGCAGCACTGGATGGGGCCTGAGACCCCCATGGCTGTCCCAGGTGGGGGGTGGGGGCATCCGAGGGGAGGGAAGGACAGAGAGCCAGGTTCCTACGGGGCTTGGGGACAGACCAGGGCAGATGCCAGAGGTCAGGGTGGGCCTTGGGTGGGGGGAATGGCCGGCTGGGGCCGTGACCTCTCTCACCGGCCGTCTTTGGGGCGATGCACTCCCAGCAGGTCCCGGGCGATCGGGGAACGGTGTGCGGTGGGGCCCGAGCGCGAGTGTGGGCACATCAGTTAACTCAGGCCACACCAGTCCTGGTCCTGGCCGCGCGCTGCCCGGTGAGACGCTGCTGTCATCGCTGGGTCCCCGCCCCCGCCGCGGCCACAGAGGCGGCCGTTTTGGAGAGAGTGCTGGTGACCTGCTCTGGGTTCTGGCTCCCCTTCCGCTTTGGAAACCACTAAGATGACAGAGCTGACCATTAGGAGACCCGAGCAACTGGTTAAGATGAAAACGCAGGGCTAAGCTGGCCCTGCCCCCCAGGCAGGGGTGCCCAGCAGCCGGTCCCTCCCACACCTCTCCACTCCCGGCCTCGGAGGAGGAGGAGGAGGAGGAGGAGGAGGAGGAGGAGGAGAAGAAGGAGAAGGAGGAGCGGGAGGAGGAGGAGGAGGAGGAGGAGGAAGAGGGAGCACCGGGAGTCCCGTCCCCGCCTACGCGCCACTCCAATTAACACGCACACGCCTGACAGCTGCGGTCCGGCCCACTGCCCACAGCCAGCGGCTCCGATCACTGACCGCATCTCCTCATCATTAAAAACACACCGAGGCCCCAGCCAGCTCCGCCAGGCCGCCTTGCAAACCCCTCTCCCCGCAGGAGTGGCCCCTGGGCACTTAGATGGGGTTGGTGTCTAAGAAAAACACTCCTAAGAGAACCGTCAGCCTGGAGCATAAAGCAGACAGCCGCTTAAGGAGGAGAACTCTCTGGTTCTAGGGTGACTCTGCTTGTTCAAATGTTCAGAGGAAAATGACAGAGATTTCAAAAAGGTTTTCCAAAAGCGGTCTCCTTGCCGACTTCAGCAATTCCAATGCCTGCAGACTACCCTCCGCCTCTATTTCCCAGCACCTTGCCTTCACGACAACCGCATTCGGGGAGCTGAGTGCTCCGGGCCTGCTGGGCATGGGGCACCGCCACCCTCCCGGGCGTGTGCACCTGGGTGCGACATGTTTAGGTAACCACCTCTGCCAGGGTGTGTCTGCTGCGCTCTCGCCCACCCTGCTGGGTCCAGCCCAAGCCCCACCTCCTCCAGGCCGGTCCTCAGCGTCCAGGTGGCCCGGTGCTCCCGCCCTGGGCTCCAGTAGCCACTGCCCACTCGGCCACTTCCTGGAGCAAACAGAGCCCTGGCTTTTGACTTGGTTACCTCGTGTGTGCTCCTTTGTGCCGAGCTGGATGGAGGGCTGGGGAGGGGGCGCAAAGTTGCAGGAGCACAAGGAAAGGACTCAATCACCAGTCGAGTGGTCAAGCCAGGGCTGGGCTTCAGGGGGCACCAGGCTGGGAACTGCCAGCTCGCTGGCATCTCAGGGAGGATGACCCAGAAGCAATTGCCACCACAGCTGCGGTCCCGGGGTCCCTTATGGGCAGAGGTTATCCGTTTTCACATGGAGACCGACTCTCGCCTGTGCCCGGAGCCCGTCTCTGACCAGCAATCAAGGCGCCTCGGTCCTGTCAGGCTCTGAGTCCTGCAAACGCAGGTCCACGTCTCCAGGCTCCTGGGTCAGGAGAAAACCTTTGGAAATGAAAACAACTGTTTTTATTTAGTTCAAATGAGCCAAGTTGCATGATTTCAACATGTAATCGACAGGTAGTAGAGGCTAATGAGACAGTTTCCTCTTTCTTAGAGAGCCCTGCCCTCCAGCACACCTCCCTCCGCACGAGCCACCTCCGACGCAGCCACGGCCACGTGTGACTCCCGGTGACCTGGACAGCACAGCTCTCGCCGGCTAATTAGAACTGGGAGCAACAATGGCATAAACTGTTGTTTCTTTTTATTGCCCCGGTTGCCAGGAAACCCCAAGCTAAATTTGGTGCGCCATAACAGAAATGGTCTCACCGCAACTCCTCCGGCGTTCCTCTGCAAAGTATTTCTCTTCCTTCTCAATGGGTTCGAGTATCTTTGTTGTGTATGTCTTTCTAGAGAAGTAAGTTAATAGTAACAACACCCATCACGGCAACTGCCTTTTGTTGTCAAGAATAGTAATGACAATAATAATGGTGATAATGTAGCCGTTACCCACTGAGTACCAGACCGAGTGCCCCAGGATTCACGAGCATCCCACAGCAAGACAACGGCAGGACTGAGGCCAGAGCCCAGGTCTGATTCCACAGCCTTCGCGCCCAACCCGTTAGCTCCTAGAGTGCCAGCAATGAGGACTCGGGCCACTGCGCCGGGGCTGAGACACACCCCCCTGGGAGCCTTAGAAGAGGCCTGCGGGGCAGTGTCCTCGCTCCCACTGCACAGGCTGGGGCTGGGGCTGGGGCTGGGGCTGGGGCTGGGCTGGGGCGCGGAGGCCAGGCCCCTTGGGGAGGTGCAGCTAATAAGCATCGGGTCCAGCAGGTGAGCTCGGGGTGAGTCCACGCACCTCCTCAGTGCTCCCTGCGTCAGGTGCGTAAAGCCCATTGCAAGGGTCACATCTCTGCTGGACAGCACTCATCAGGAAGTCACTGAGTCAGTAGCAGCTGTACTTCCGGCTCCTTCTATGAGCCAGTGACAGTCCCCGCCCCTCCCCGCCCACCGTGCTGGGAATTCACAAGCGGAAAAGACAGAAATCTCTGTCCGTCGCAACGGAAGGAAAGCAAAGTCAAGAAAAATATCACAAACAGTCATTGAACATTCTCCACGGGGTCTTGTACGGCAGGTGCCGAAGAAACACATCCCGCTGAGACTCATTGGATCTAAGAAGTTAGAGAAAGTGGGTCGAAGCACTTAGAACTCTGAGTGGGCCCACGAATGTGTCCACGCTGACCGCCCCGGCCCGTGCCCACGCGCCCTTTGCAGGCATCACGCGTGTCCCTGCGAGCTGTGCAGAAGGCATGGTGCCCACGAGAGGGCCCGGGCCAGTCTCTCTGCCTCATCATACAATGACACTCAGCCATCAGCGGAGCGGCGCTGGCGGCTTCCAGAGTCGCAGGATGCGAGTGCGCAGCGGCTGTCCCCTGCTTGGCAGGGGCTGTCGCTGCGTCTCATCGAGCTGGACACACGGCTGTGAGCCCGCATGTGGGGCGAGGGCACTGCTGTGTTTGGTGCTGTTCTTTCACTTTCCCCCCAACACCTGGAATGACACAGACTTTGATGGCGAAGTAATGAGACTCGTCGCCATGGAGGCCACCATGCCTCACTCAGGCAGCGTCCTCAGCCCACCAGGTTTTTGTGTGTGTGTTTTTTTCATAGTCGCCACCTTTATTATTTGTTTGTTAGTTTATTTGTGAATCCTCACCAGAGGATATTTTTTCCATTGATTTTTAGCATGAGTGGAAGGGAGGGGGAGAGACAGAGAGAGAAACATTGATGTGGGAGAAACACATCAACTGGTTGTGCCCCGACCCAGGGCTGGGGGTTGAGGCTGCAACTGAGGTACGTGCCCTTGACTGGAATCGAACCCATGACCCTTCAGTCCAGGGGCCGGCGCGCTAACCATTGAGATAAACCAGCTAGGGCTTGCCCAGGTTCTTGATACCCCTCCTGTGACCACAGGCAGGCAAGTGGAGACATGACTGGAGGTCACTGATCAGGAGCCAGTGGGGGAGGAGGCTTGGCACTCTAACGCCCTAGTCATTATGTGAGATTATATCTAATTCTATAAATATCCCAGCGTTAAGCCTAACCTTTAAATGACACCTCACTTTCCATGCTACCGTGTCCTTCACGATCCCCCCAAAGCCAGTGATTTGAAGGGGTTCCTTCCCAGGAGACGGGCACGAGCCAGTCCAGTTTGCACGGAGGATCCCAGGTTTCTGTGAGCCTGGGGCAGGCCGTTTTCTTCCCATCTCTTCGGCTGCGGAACAGGAGCAGCCCTCTCTCAGCAGCTCCGGGAGGGGCTTCGCACAGTCAGAGAGCAAGGACCCGGGCCCTGCCGTACAGGAGGCACAGGGACCGGTGCCCGGCTCCTCGCAGCTGTGCCCCTCCTTGCTGCCCTGCACCGTCCCCCTGGCCGGCTTCCTCCAGGCAGCATCACCTTGTCTCTCCTATGGCCTCAGGTTTCTCGGCCCTGACTCTCATTCAGGGCATCCTTGGGGCTGCTGCCCCAGCGCTCCCCAATTCCCACTGTTCCAGTCCAGCATTTCACGGGCTACGCCACTGGCCACCTATGGGTTTGCTTTTTTGGGTCACATGCCCAGCCCCGGTGCCATCGGTTCTGGCTTTGGAAGGTGGGGTGGGATGAGGCCGCACCAAACTTGTCTGGCAGGTCGGCAGTTTTCCCGAGAGGCGCCGGGATGACACACAGGTCTGCCCCGCCCAGCAGAGACAAATTACATAACCTGCCAATCAACTGAGAAACATCTAGGAATCATGTCTGAAGTGGAGAAAGAAGGCGAATAAAGAAAACAAACAAACCCAGCTGGATTAAGAGCTGAAAGTAACAGGTATTAGATACTTTACACTACGCACTGTACAGGGTGGGGCAAAAGTAGGCTTACAGCTGTTCTTATAGACAATAGGCAATAATTAATAGATCATAAGAATAAACTCTGTTTCGTGTCCTCATCACGGCAAACCTATTTTAGCCCCGCTCTCTGTGGGCATTTTATTTTATTTTTATTTATCTATTTTTTAAATGTACTTTATTGATTTTTTACAGAGAGGAAAGGAAAGGGTAAGAGCGTTAGAAACGTTGATAAGAGAGTAACATCAATCAGCTGCCTCCTGCACACGCCCTACTGGGGATGTGCCCGCAACCAAGGTGCATGCCCTTGACCGGAATCGAACCTGGGACCTTTGCATCTGCAGGCTGACGCTCTATCCACTGAGCCAAACCGGTTAGGGCTGTGTAGACATTGTACATGCATTACTTCATCCAGGCCTTCCAAATACAGTGTCCTGAGCATAAGTGTCACCAACCATTTTCATTTGTAGGAACTGAGACTCGGGGACATGTCTCTATATGACTCAAGGTCACCATGCCAGGAAGAGGTGGAGCCAGGGTTTGAACCCGGATACATCCTGGACTCCCAAATTCCTTCCCCTGTAAAACACACCGAAACAGAGGTAAGTGCTAACAGCATCCTCACCTACCGGCTGAAAAGTGACCAAGTCCAGCTGTCCCTTGCAGACCTCTCCTTAGGGCCGGACCTTACCCACATTGATATGGGTGAGCAAAGCTCAGACATGACTGGCAGCATGATAGAATCATTAAAATAAGTCACTGGGATTGTAACAATGTGAGCACGTATTACTCGGTAAAGGACCAACCCTGAACATAATTTGTTTTCATACACCATTTAAATGACTCCTGCCAATGCCAACAACATTCAGCCTGCTAACTGGCCAATCCAGTCGGCGACTGGAATTCCTCTTCCAATTGTCCGACCAGCTGAGCTCAAGGAAATAAAAGTATGGGCCCAACTGCAACTTGTTCCAAAAGTGTTCTCACAAGCTTATGTCTTTATTTCCTTACTAGAGGCTCAGTGCACAAAATTCTTGCATTTGGGGGAGGGGTCCCTCAGCCCCGCCTGCACCCTCTCGCAGTCTGGGAGCCCTTGGGGGATGTCTGACTAATGGCTTAGAGCCGTGGTCGGCAAACTGCAGCTCGAGAGCCACATGCGGTTCTTTGGCCCCTTGAGTGTGGCTCTTCCACAAAATACCACGTGCGGGCACATGTACAGTGTGATTGAAACTTTGTGGCCCATGCGCAGAAGTTGGTTTTCAGCCTGGGCGAGTCTATTTTGAAGAAGTGCTGTTGATATTTGGCTCTGTTGACTAATGAGTTTGCCGACCACTGGCTTAGACCCACTCCCTGCAGGGAGCAGGCCTAGGCTGTAGTTGGACATCCTTAGCACTGCCGTGGAGGCAGAAGAGGCTCCTGCCACCGCCTCTGCATCCGCAGCCGTCAGCCTGGCTTGTGGTTGAGCGGAGCTCCCACTGTGGGAGTGCACTGACCACCAGGGGGCAGCTCTAGTGTTGAGCATCTGCCCCTGGTGGTCAGTGTGCATCATAGCAACCGGTCGTTCTGCTGTTAGGGTCAATTTGCATATTACCCTTTTATTCTATAGAATGATGCATATATCCATTTAAATAATCATGTCAATAAGACATCTTGTTAAGCTCTGAAAGAAAGAAAATATTTTTAAGACTCAGACCCCATCCTTAAGGATTTAGGACAAAGTGGGTATGGGCAAAGCACGATTCCCAGTGTGGACCTGAGGTGCAGTCCACCAGGAGCACAAACGTTTTCTTGGGTAGAGATGGGTGGGAAAACACGGCTGCTGATTACTTTTTTTATCCTGTTAAAAATGGGCCCTGTTGGATCAAGGTAGAAATGCATTGCTTTTGGCCCAATACCTCCTCAAGGTTAAAAAAGCGAGAGCAGATGCCAAATGACCTTTAAAGTAAACATCAAACATTAAGCAGAAGAACAGATAGCATGTTAGAAATGTCATCATCTTAAGAATCATCACCTCTAACATCATCATGTTATTTCACCTTCACTGTTCTAAGAGTTTCAGGTTTCAGCTTGGAAATGGCTGGAGATGGAACAACAATGAAAGCTAATTCTAATTTAAGTAGAAAAGGATTTTTTTCCCTTTGATTTTTAGAGAGTGTGGAAGGGAGGGGGAGAGACAGAGAGAGAAACATTGATGGACTGGGGCCAGAGCCAGAGCCTGCAACCGAGGTATGTGTCCTTGACTGGAATCGAACCCAGGACCTCTCAGTCTGAGGGCCAACACTCTGTCCACAGAACCAACCGGTCAGGGCTTGACCTTTACTCTTTCAAACCCCTACCCATTGCATCAACCCAACCGAGGAAAGTAGGCCTGCCCTGTGCACATCACAATAGGCACGAATTCCTGGAGTCTAGCTGGCATCCCAGAAATGAGAGAATTCGTAGGACAGACTAACAGAGGTTAATGCAGTCGCTGGCCGCTCTCCAGCCCTGAAATTGTAAAAACAACACAGCTGGGTCGGAAGACAAGCGCTCCCTTTCTCCTCTGCTCGGCCATCTCCGAGGACTAACCTTTGCTTTTCCAGAATTAGTAATTGCGAGGCCTACTCACGTGACTTGGAGCAAAAGCATGTGCTAGAGTCATGCTTACAATCGGCTTGGGCAGCACCTCGCTGGCTGGTTCTCGGCTGGGCTTCCCATGCACGCAGTGAGTGGCAGCGTGTCCTGAGTCTGAGGCTGGTTTTAGGACGGGCTTGGTGGCACCCTCGCTGGAAGGATGGCCTCCTGCCGTCATGGCCAGCAGCTCAGGGTGTTTTT